ACATGTAAATCTTCATCATCAGGAACTACACGCGAACAATTAGAAGACCGTGTACTCGGCCCAGCATGTGAGCTCCCACCAGACTCATGTCTCTGTCTGGATAAAGCAATCAAATCCTGATTTGTAAATGGTCTTTCATCCTTGTTGTCTTGAACTTCCTCGTAAATCCTTCGTGTAACGGTGATATCATGGTGAGTAGCAACTGCCCCAGGAATAACCACATCATCCTCCCGAGCAATCTCAACTGTATCCCAAAAATCATTCTCATTACGATCCTCTCCATCAAAAATTTCGTGTTCACCCTCGATGACATTTTTCTTCAACAAACTTACGCAAATAGGAGTCGTCTTTCGACCTTGGTTCAATTGAATTAGATGCTTTATTTGCGCTTCAGAAGTAACTTTCAAAGGTGGAATCGAAATTGTTGAATGCTTTTGAAATAAAAATCCCAATTCCATATCGTACTAAGAGGAATCGACGTTAAGCATGTTTTGTATATCACTGTACATTTCTGTAAACGAAATATTTTTTGTTATCGAAATAGCAGCAACCCCTTCTCCTTCACTCGTCCATTTCCATTCCCATTGACCATTTTCTTTCCTTTGAAATTCGCTGAAATAACAGATTGGGACACATGCTTTTGCCATATCTGCATTACGAATTAAAAATATCAGAACAAATTATCAGAAATAAAATTATCAGAATCGAGGGGCGGGGGAGTCTGCAAACGGACGGTCGGGATGGTCCGGACCGTCGTTAAATTCGGCGTTCCGGCATCTGATCGGTGCCGGCCTGAACTTTGGCTCTAATATTATTTTTTCTACCATTTAAAAAAAATATACGACTTCAATAAAAATAAAATTAAATACTACGAAAAGATACTTACCGAATTGAAGTGCTGAAATTTAACTAAAATTTTCTGCTGAGGTTGATAACCGATAAGTTTATGAAATTTTGAGGTTGAAGTGGATGAAAAATGAAAGAGTTTTTATCGTGTTAGAGTAAACTGATGAAAAGACTGACTTCGTTTTCAAATTTCAATTGAGAAGTGTTTGGATTTTTATTTGTAACTTAAGGATATTTTTGTCTTTTTACCATATTTCTATTTTTGTAATTATATAACTCATTTAAGGGCGTTTTTGTCTTTTACACAAGAAATGGCTATTGTGGTGAATGTTAGACTTTTATGGTTAAAATGGAAAATGGTTGGTTTGACAAAGCCAAACTTAAAAGTACCCCGGCAACCTTAAAGAATTCCCAATCTCTCTTTCGCCTCATTCCACCCTTCCATGCTCCTCACCCTCGTAGTTAATCCCTTAGCCATGTTTGGGCTCCTTTAAAAATATATTTTTAAATATTGATTTTTTTTTAAAAATGTATGGTTAAAAAGAGAAAAATTTTTAAATCTATTTTTAATATTGTTTTATTAAAAAATTTATGGTTGAAAATATGAAAGAGAAAAATGCATTTTTTTAAAAAAGGGAATTCAAACTGGGCAAGGGTGCTTGAGCCACATATTTATGAAAAAATGCATTTTAGAATAGTAGATTGATGAGAAATGTGTGATTGAAAAATAAGTAAAAGTTTTTGAATTACGTATAATATTATTTTAATAAATAATGTGTGATTGAAAAGAAGGGAGGGAAAAATGTATTTTAGAAACAAACAAGGTTCAAGCAAAGACTAAAATTTTTTTTAGTCAACCTCTAACTCTGCCCCCTACATTAACTACTATATATTAATTACAGTTAATAGTTGCAATGTTGTTATTGGTTTTAATTATGTTTTAGATGTAAACTTGGATTTAATTATGATGACTACCACTTTGTTGGGCACACGTCACATGGTTACGATACAATTATGGGAACTGGTGAGCAAAACTTATGC